TACCTTCCGGACCGTCTAATTAATGAATATTTTATCGACCGGGCTACATGATGTGGGGTCGGCCACATCTGGGCGCCATCCCCGAGCGTGGTTTATGAAGGTGATGATTTTTGAGTTTTTCCCTATCTTCTTGTAAATGCGCACATTTTTGCGTTACGGAATTTTGTTTTTTTTCGCGGGGAGAAATTAACCATCTTTTGCCATGCGCGTGACTGCGAGGAGTAGTCGACTTCGGGCGCTCAAAAGTCTCTTTCAGCTGGAAATTTTGTCACTCCTCACCCCGTTTAAAGTTTCGTAAAGCTCGACTCGCGGTCTCTCTTTTTCGAGCTATGAAAAGTTCCCCAAAAAATTTTTTAGCGTAATCCACAAAATATATAATGCCCTGTAGTTCCAAAGCAAGCTCAATGTACTCCTCGTAACGCCTTTATGCCAATCCTATTGGAAGGATTCGTCTATGACTCTTCAACATAAGCTTTAGTTGCGGCATCGGATCCGTATATCTTGCCAGTCAGAACTTTTTTAAAGTTTGGAAACAGACTGAGAAAGCAAACGGTGCCAAATCTGGAAACTGTTGAAGGCGCAACTTGCTGAATTTTTTTCATCATGACTTGAGACCTTCTTCATTTTGGGAGAAATGGAAAGAATAGCTTTTGTATTCTAAAATTCTGACCACAACCTTACCGGTTGACGGAATTATGTCCTCTCTCTACTGGTAAACGAGTTATGCATACAGGGTAGATCCAATACAATTTGCTTCGCGAAAATGTTTATCGTGAATTTTCCCATTTTTCCGGGTAAATTTTCGCATGTTTTGATATCCTATGCCCTATTCCATAAAGGAATTTACGAGTACCTATATTTCTTCCTCGAATTGTCTAAAACTCTTACCTGTTATCGTGGGTTCGAGAATTAAAATCATTTGTTCAAATGGACTTAATTTGGACAACGTATCAAAACAGTTTAGTGTAGTAACGGGTGTACTATTCGAAAAGTGCACCCCCCACAATCAGAACCTTGCTTGCATGTGATAGTAATGGAAATTCGAGTGGAAATTAATAGTATATTAAGTATTAAGGTCAGTAGGTGTACTTTACTGGTTGAGGATAATAATTGCAAACCGAGAGCGCAGCTCGAGGTTTGCAATATTATCCGAAATCGGTTAAGCACCTACTGACCGTGGTGCTTACGCTATTTTTTGCACGATCAATTTATAATTGATATAAACTAAATTCGAATGTATCAATGTGGTAGCATCACAATGGGTTCAGTAATTTTTTGTGGGTTGCTACAGTTACGTTTCTGTTTTTGAAAACAAAACAACACGTGCGCGAAACGTGGTTTGGTTGAGACTAAGTGAACATACCTAAATGATTCAGAAGATTTCGAAATAGAAGATGCATGGAGTATTGGCTGCGCATCGATCATTCCCGAAAAATTTAAAAGTAGATATGAAGCCGCATATGATTCTTTCCTTAAATGGTGTGAAAGTAAATGTCAAACTGACATAAGTGAAAAAATTGTGTTAGCATATTTTGTTCAACGTAGTGAAGGATTGAAATGGCTTATGGTGTGATTATTCCATGTTGAAAATATGATTTTTCTAAGAAGGTGTGTTGATATTTCTAAATACAGTACGCTGATAGCATTTTTGAAAAGAAAGAACGTTGGGTATCAGCCAAAAAAATCTAGCGTTTTTTCTAAAGCAGATTTCCATAAATTTCTTACGGAAGCACCCGATGACACGTACTTGGTGAGTCATTAACTAACAAGATTGAAACCGCTCAGAAGATTTTATGTGGAACTCCAGGGAACCCTTCATCATCTTCGTTGCCATCAACAGAACCTGCTATTTCATACCGTACTAATTCAAATCCTCTATCGACTGCTGAGTGTGAAGAATCTGTAAACACCGTGTTTTCCAATTGCCTGTCTAATTCCCGAACTAATTTTTGTAACTTGCAAATTGTACATTTAACTTCCACATTAGGTAATAAACAATAATTTGATTTTTGACACATATCCTACTTGTCGCATGTTACTGTAACTGTCACTTGGTTGCTATGATACACTTACCGCCCTAGGTTGGTAAGTGCACCTTACCGCCTTGAAAATGAATTAGTAAGTAGCCGACTATAACCGATCGTGCAAAAAATTAATGTTAGATCTGATTGAAGTATGGAATGAGCTTTGAAATAATGTGCACACGATCCGTCATGTCACTTAAAAACCTTGCCACATTTGGACTCGGAAAAATGGTGTTTGTAGGGGGTGTAACTTTTTTCTGGTCACCTTGCGTACTTCTAAAAATAACTGATATATTAGAAATGGAAAATTCGATTTTTTATCTAGTGATAAATATTTATCGATAACTTATGGTGGCGGAATTTAGTAAAATGACACCTCCTAATAAGTTAGTGTCCGGAAAGTTAACAAAAATATGTTATATTTCATCTCCTTAGAGCACAGCTATGGAGGAATTGTTTAAAAGTAAGGGGTATTGAGGTGGACCACTCTCGAATTCTGGGCGAGGCGATTGCCTATCCTAGAAAAGCAATCGGATTTAGTAACTCCTCAATTCGTATTAGGGAAAAACCATCACATCTTTTTTAATGAGGATGTGGCAGAACAAAATTGTCTAAATCTCCAGCAACAGCAGAGCTACCCAGCAGGCACTTAGTCGCTGTAAAATTACCTCTAGGTTGGTTTCCGAATGTCACGATGCACCAAAGCAAGTAGCAAGCAGCAACCCTTGAGCTCGCATGGGTCAAAGGGCATGCTGGAATGGAAGGTAATGAGAAATCCGATGACTTAGCTTGGCTGGCCTCAAAACAGGTGTTTTGTGGTCCAGAGACGGCTCTTCCACTTACAGCTACAACTGTAAACAACCAATAACTCAAGACACCAAACTCCGCACCGGGTTAGGTGTTAAGATTATCGTTATGCGAGATAAGACTTCAAAGAACCATCTCGTAGCCTGGTGCGTTTTTGCACAGGGCTCTCAAGAAATAACCTGAGGTTACTCGTGGGCATACTTTCTGGGCTTGGGTTTTAAAGCATCTCATATGGTCTTAATAATAATTAGTACTAGATCTCATTAGAGAATGAAGTGAGCGTTTTTAGAAAATGGTCGAAGGTGGCATCAAGTTTGGTACCCTTCAATACGAAACTAACGTACTCCGTAAACTGGTTGAGTAGGGTTTAGTTGAGACTCGTATTATACTGAGGTTTACATACTAATTAAACACTTAGGAAAAAAGGGCGATTTGTTGCTATTAAGCTGGGTATCCACTTGTACACATGACTTAGGTACAACATAACAACGAGCATGTTATGCAACGTTGCAAAGTTGACACGTCGCTTTCGCCTACTTCGGCCTGGTTCATAGTACACTCAGCTATGCGGTTCTCGCATGGGGTCATTGCTCATCTTGGAAACATGTGTTCAAGCTACAGCGCAGGTGTATTAGAATTATAGCAGGCTTAGGTTACCGCGCCGACTGCCGTAAAACATTTGTTGAGCTAAACATTTTAACACTACCATGTGTATACATATTAGAGGCAGTATGTTATGCTAGGTCTAACCTCTGTAATTATAGTTACCAATCTGACGTGCATTATCACAACACTCGACATCGGAATGATATTAGGAAAAAATTTTGTCGACTCACCATCACTCAAAATGGTTTAATTTACCAATCTCAAAGTTTGTTTAATAGCATTCCGATGTATGTTAGATCTGCAAGTTTAAAAAAATTTAGAACAACAGTAAAAAACTATCTGATGTCTAGTGCTTTTTACTCCCATGAGGAGTTTCTGGAATCTAGCTATAAGATGGAACTGATATGATTGTATTATTGTGATTTATGTAGTTGGTTATTAATATTAATTGTGTTATGTTTTATATCGTTGTTATTATGTTATATTGTTGACAAGTGTAAATGCCTCCTAAGGCGTAATGCATACAATAAATTCAATTCAATTCAATTCAATTCAATTCAATTCATACAAATGGTGGTTCGGTTTGTAAAGATTGCGCATGTCCAATTGGGTAACCAAGAAATAGTCGACGTATTCGTAGTTACGTTACGCGCCATTTTGTTACCAGTGGATATACCCAGCTTTAGAGCGCACAATGCATACAAATGTATGATGAAGTTCATGATTAACACTTAGGATTTGTTCGGGATTATATAGTTTCCACTATTGTGAACCTTACAAATTAATTTGTCTGCCATTACTTTAGACAACCGGAAATTTTAAAAAATCGTTCTTAGGTCCACTGCATATAGAGCTTTACACCGCACCCAACTGTAATGTTTGAGAAGAACTCAAACCCAAAGTTTCTACTCTTGGGCAAAAGATGCACCAAATGTCTACTTATCCAAAACTTCTTTCGGAAAAACGCCAAACGCCGTTGTTTGCTTGATGCTTTCCAGTATAAGGGGTTAATCGCAAATATTCATATACATTGACAAAGATACGTCATAACCTACTAAAAAACCAGTAGAAAACCGAGTAGAAACCACTCTGCGTAGTTAAGTGAATAAGAAATAGCATAACATAGTAAATGGAAGTGGACCGGATACACTGTATCATAGAATACAGCTAATTAACTTAATTGAATATTCGTATTTACTATTGATCCAGCGTTCAAATCACCAGAACTCTGTGTACAAAATGCGGACTTTAGCCTAGGCGATTTTGAATAGGAAAATTCGTGTGCTCAATTAGTAGCGAAAAACAGAAAAAGAACAGATAATTTGCTACAGCGGCCAATCAGACAGATAACAAACTATTAGCTGGATGGAGATAGACTGAGATACGAGCGGCTTTTGCGGTTTAATGGCGGTTACTATTTTACTCTTAAATTAACCACTTCATTTAGATATAGAACTGAAAACGGAATATTTTTTTCTATCTGTAGGAAATCCGCTACGGTTTGTTCCATTTCAAATTGCACTATAATAATAATTTATTGACCAATTATTGTATTTGTTGCAGAAGGAAGCGAAGATGAACTAGACATATCCACATCGAACCTTCACACATCCGACGAGGAGAATTCGACGGAATTGAGAACAATGGTACCGCCGCAAAGTGAAAACAATATGGGAGTTATCAATTCTGACCAAACGAATAATAATCGAGAAGACAACCCGAAACTCTCCCTTAAATCGGCCGACCTTTTGTACAACCACGAAAAGTTCTTTAACGGATTTAAAACTTGTGACTTTTCGCCTCAATTCGCCTTAGGTAACAATGTACTGCCGCCCGAATTAGAATATCGCGATTCCGGTGTGTTCGCCGTGAGTGTTATACCGAAAGGTGCAAGGTTTGGTCCGTTTCAGGGAAAGTGGGCCGGCGTTCCCCAAGACTCGAGATATGCTTGGGAGGTAAGTGTTCCATTTCAAGAAAACCACTTGAAAAAACGCCTCGACAAAAGAAATCTCGCCACTTTAAGCGCTTTATTAAAAGATATAAAAATTTATAAATAGGTAAAATAACACTTACGCCGGTCTCCAGTTTCGTAAAACAGGGTCGTCGCCTATACAATTTTGAGGGGTGCTAATAACCAGTATTGGTGAAAATACATAACAGTTAGGATTATTTTCTAAAATAAGGGTGGTGTGTACGCCGATATTATAGGGTGAGAAATTATTGATATCTGCTTTGGGTGTAAGACAAAGTTTTGAATTTGAAATGGTTTTTTCCCCGAAAAAAAGGCGTAGTGGAATATATTCGATTTACGGATCTGTCTGAACCAGGTGTTTAAGGTGATTGACAGTTAAGGAATATGTGTGAAAAAGGGGTTTTCGAACCGAATTTCGGCATTGAATAGGCAATAGGATCGAAGTAATCTCAGGATATGAAGTACAACAGTAGTGAATAACTTTTGTGTTTGTAATTATAGGGCTATTGTGCGATGTCGGGTGGCGATTAGTTTATTAATGTATCGATTTAATTGCGTCTGGTAATCAGAGAAATGTTCCTGGGAACGCTTGGTGTGAAAAGTTAGTTGTTGTTGATATTATTAAGGATGTTATTATGATAGCGCGAGTTGATGAGCATGTATTAATCTTGTTCCGTTTTAGTTGCTTTGATAAGCAGCTCGTCTCCGGTGTTACGGAAGATAAATTCTGATAGTCGTGGGAGAAAATTTCTTTCACTTACTTATCAATCTTCCCCTTCCAAACGCCTAGTTAGAAAGTGTTTCGTAGCATCGTAAGCACGTTGGAAAATGTAAATTTTGAGTTGCGGTAAAGGAATCCGTCAACTAAATTCTTGGAATGAAAATAATTCCCTGAATACTATTTAGATTTGTGGTTAAGTTAGATAATTTTAGCCATTGATGATTTTGTCCAGCAAACAGCGGTCAACTACGGAAATTCAAGCGACACGCGAAAATAAAAACGTACACGTAGACCCCTTAACTCTCAATGAATTTTATACTTTTACTTATGGCACGTCTGTATTGATTACGAAGACATAGTTACAACTAAGGTAGACATAACAATTGACTTGACACATGAAACAACTTATCGTTAAAGATTATTTGTACTTGTATTTATATAATACAGGAGATTTTTTTAAATCATTTACTCCATTTCTCTTAAACTTTTCTGAAACGTTTTGCAAAAATCGTCAATGAACTTATTCATGTGACTTTAGCTCAACCCCAACCCTCAAACTTTACAGAATTTTGTCTACAATCGTGTGGTTTATTATGAAAAACATACGATTGTAGGCTGCCATCAGACGTTCTGTGACCGGCATTCTCTCCTGGCGAGCATATAGTTTCCCATTGAGGCAAAAGTAAACTTTTTCTTTTTCTTTCAAGAAAGAACACCCGCATTTCTAAAGTTCTTGATACTTACGTTTGTGAAAAATTAATGAAAAATCTTGCCAAAGGTTCTACGATAAAAATTCCATTACCTATGTGTTGATTACACTTCGACAAATTACATCTTAGAGGAAAATCTTATAATGAATAATTGCAAACTTGGATAAATATGCAATTTAATATATCAAAATACGGTTTTCACTGATATCTTCTTTGATAATATCATATAATAGGTAATTACATGGTTCCATTTGAAATTTTCAAGAAAATCTGTTTACGTAAACGCCCAATCGCGCCCTCCACCACTCATCACATTTACTTAGAAGATTCTATTTATATAAAATCTGATTACACGAAGAGAGCTCTTTCTAATAAGACCAATTATGTAAAAATCGGTGAATCTAAACCGAAGTTACATTAAATTTCTTATAGAACTATTCCCGTTCCGCCATCTCTCGTATTTGATGAGCCAGATCAATATGTGCTGCATCAAAATAAAAATTTGTACAAGATTGCGATGCATATATTTTTTATGCATGTTTGTTGGGTATATTTTAGGAAAAAATTATGTTTCTACTTAACCAGCGATTTCTCTTGGCCTCTTTTGTCAAGTAACAAAATCTTTTTGCCCAAGCTTTAAATAATAATAAAAAAATCAACATTTGAAAAATAATCAAGAAAATCGGAGCTGTTTTTGAGGATTTCCGAAGATTGATCTTTTACGAATTCATTGAGGCGCCTACAATATTACATAATTAATTTACATACAGAGTGTCTCATTTATCTTGAGACAGTCGATTATTCCGAAAACTAGCAGGGATACCATAAAACGATTTAAATCAAATCTTCTTAATATGGAGGGCACATTTGATGATTTCACATGACTGTCCCTTAAGAGTCAGGTGTTGATCAAACAAATTTTTTCAAATACAAACCTACATTTTTTTAAATATTCTTATTCTACATCGGAAAATAATAAACTTTCGTTTTTCCCCTACATTTACTATTTTTTGAAGACACTCTTCTAAAAGCGCTAGTTTTGGTTTTAGCTAGGAAGCTGTTCTGACAAGAATTTGGCACATTTTTTAATGATTATTTTATCATACTTTTCCCCATACTCTCCCCGAATAATTATAGGAAGATTCGCACCTGACATAGTCGTTTTCAGGAGCCTTGCGGGGATTCGCAGGCAGGGATTTTTGGGGATTTTGTTCCCGGTTAAAAAGCACAGTCTGAGGAACCAATATCAATCGTCAGATTTTATGAACTAATTTTCTTTAATGTGACAGCTCTTTTTGAGGTAAAATTCCTGTACTATTTAAGATAATAGCTAAATCATCTCATGTTACTATAAATCTCCACCTGTCGTTAACATTCGAATTGAAATTGTATCACATTGTTTGGGGAGATAGCTCCAGCAGTCTTAGAAAATGTATCCTAAATATTCGAAACTTGCTCCGACGTGGAATTCCCGCGACAATAGTCACCTCCAGAAATTCGCCCCCGAATTACTCTCGCAAGCAATCTTTTAACTTTTAAAATTTGATCAATATACCCAAAATATTTGGCTCCAAGAAAATCCACCTCCTACTAAAACTCGCCTTTGCCTGCATTTTGCTCCTTCGCCCGGTCCCCAAGTAATTGCCCTTAGAATAATGCGATTTGTATACACTGTGGCCAAGATAAGGATGTCTACCATGAGGATCTACGAAATCAAAGATGATTCGGTGATGGTCAAATTAAAGAAATGATGCGAAATTAAAGAGTTAGTATCATACTTCAAAGAAAACCAGAAAATTCCGATTATTTCCGAAGATATTCCAGGAAAACGGAAGTTTGTTTCGGATAAATCATCAACTTTACTTTTTTATATGGTCCATAAAAAAAGTACCCACTGTATTGAGTAGCATTTTTTATTACGAATACAACGACATAGTGCGTCGCTAGCACTGGGCGATTACAGGTTTGAATAATCGATAAAATCGATCATTTTAAACAATCAAATGATCGATTAATCAAATAATCGATTGCCAAATAAGTGATTAAAAGATTAACCATATAATCGATCATCACATACAAGGAGTAATGAGAAATCTGATTTTTCCCATTAATACGCTCATTACCTCATCATAATAAAATTAATTAATTAGGTTAATGTTTAAAAGCAACAGAAACGAGACCTTAAAATTAGACTGAATTAAAAGTAGGCACGTAAAAGCGAAACAACAATGAATTGTACTGTGGCTACTACTTTTTGAGTAAACCGATGATCGAGTTAATAAATAATAAAATCAATTAAAACTAACAGAATAATCAATTAAAACTAACAGAATAATCGATTAAAACAATTGATGATCGATTATTTCTTGTATTGATTAATGAAACAATCGATCATTCAAATGATCGCGAAAATCGATTAATTTAAAGGAATAATCAAAGCCGATTATCGTTTAATTATAATCGATAACCTGATTATCTTGCGGCAAACAAAAAACTCTTGGATTCAACAGAATGGTGCACTTACGCATAACGCCCTAATCGTGCGAGAATACCTAACGTACACATATCTTGGAAAATACAAAATTGGTCCATTACGTACTTATGCACAATTAGGGCGCTGTGCGCGGGTGCACCATCCTGTTGAAGCCAACAGTTTCCAACTTTTTGTATGTCATATATCGTTGTGTTCGTAATATCCTACTGGATACAGTATGTACTTTTTTTGTTGATGATGATTTCTCCGAAATGAAACGCTGTCTTGTAGAGCTCTAAAAGTGGCAATGAGAAAGTAGTTTTTATTTTTTTGTATCTGTTCAAATAGCATCAGGAAAAGATACAAACGAAATCAGCAAATTTAGGTTTCTCTGGAATATCTTCGGAAGTATTTTCTAGTTTTCTGTAAAGCATGAAACCGTTTAATATATTTTTTCTAATTTGGCCATCGTCCATTCTTCTATGGTTTCGAAAATCCCCATGATAGACATGCATTTCTTGGACACAGTGTATATAGCGCATTTATTTCCAGAAAGGTAAGATTCTTTACGGTTTTCAAGGCCAGGTCAAAGTCCCAAAAGTAATTGTTAAAATCCATTCTTGGTTCTGTATCTTCCGTATCCGCAAGTTATATAGTCATGGTATCTCAAATAAAAAGTAATTAAAATCGTAGATGGTTAAGAAAAGTGACCCTTAACAATAACAATGATTGGAGGAAAATAAGTCCCGCAAGATTGCTTCCTATAGCCCAAAGTCGTACGTCGTATATTAGGGGTAATTTGGTTGGAACCAACAGTTCCGAACTTGAGATTATGTGTTAAGTGGTTTTTGGTATAAGGCAATTCTAATCTTAAGATTCGCATTCACCCATTGCATGTCATGCAGCATAAAATGCATTTTTATTGAGCAATTAATCAGAAATCTAAGTTTGAACGGTTATTAACAGACTAATTTGCTACGAAGTGTATTAGGGGCGGTTTTGTTGAGACCAAAGTTTCGAATTGTGTCTTAATTAATGTTTGCTTCTTTACAAAATCCAGTAGTAGCAGTTTTTTTGGA